CAGAGTGTGTCGTCTGCTAGAAAACCTTTTGCTTGGCTGCCTCAGTATGACGACTAAACAAGACGTATAACGTTTATATGCATACTCATAACTAAATACGAAATAAAAACACCATACCGCCTTTTTTACTCACAAGCGAAACACTGTTGCAAGTCTTTTAGGCACAGCAGACGAAAAATTCTGCAGAAAAAGGACGGCAGAGCAGACGTACACTTGTTTTCCACGCCTGGACTTCTGAGCGGCAGTGTTGGTCGGACATTTTCGTATACCCTTTGTTTGAAATGTCTGGAATGGGCTGATTAATGCTCGAAGGGACAAGATATCTTCGTATTTGTTTGTGTGAAAACGCGGGGCAACCAGGCAGAGGGCAATGAAGTGTTTTGTTTCCGTCTGCAAGTCTGGTTATGGCAAAGGGTGGGAGAAGATCCTGCTCTTCGCGGCTTCATTTAATCAGCTGCTACTGGATCAGTGGCGTCAAAAAATACCCGTGAGTAAGCAACCTTTGAAATTGAAGGACAAATATGTGCTAGACACTTTAAGAAGCACCTCATATTTGATAGGTACTGGAGCGAACACAGAGGAAATGTTCTACTAGATGTTAAAGAAAGTGCCTTGACTTCGAAGGGGAGCAATTCCTTCCATCTTTCGGGAAAGTGTGGCTCAACTCGATGACGCTGAATATAAGGAGGAACCAACTGACGCCGGTGTCGAAAAGCCGGAGGACATCAATTTGTGTACAACCTCATACAGAGTGGGCACCTTTCTTTGCCCAGGTAATGAAAATTCTCAGTGGTACCTATGAGAGGACTTCTTCACTTGGTCGCCTGGCAAGGGTCTCAGAAAAGAAAACAGCTTGAGTGCGCCTTCCAACGAACAATGTGCCGCAGAAAGCAGCGCAAGCAGCTCTACCGCTATAAGCGACAACAAAGACTCTCTGTGCTCAAATCCAATTTGAGGTTAACAGACCGAAAAAACACACGGCCTCATGTATTATCTCATATATTAGGTTTATGTATATATTATGTTTATGTACGTTGTAATGGCATTGTGTAATTTTATGTGGTTCACATTACAGATGTCAGGCTTTTGACCTGTTTCGAATAAAAGAAGTAAAACGATACAGTGGGACGTCAATCCGCAAACTTCAATAGTCATGCTCTTTACAGGTACAGGAAGGAATTGGTAGCAGACATAAGGCATGCATGGAGCAGACAAAACAGATAGGCGAGCAGACCCGTGAACGTGACCACGCACGCGTCCGTGCAGTTGCTATAGCAACGACAGACGGAGCTCCCAACCCACAGCTCTGCTCGAGGGCAGCGCCTCTCCTCTCCCGCTTTCCTCCATTCGTAGCGCCACCTGGCAGACGAACCGCGAAGCATGAAGCGACGTTTAAAGATTTGTCCCTTCCAGACAAGCGGAGTCTGTGCTCCTTTTTTATCTTTTTGTGGTTACGACTAATCCCTGACTGATTCTCATGTAATAATGCATTCACTGACTGCTTACGCCATAGCGGTTCGTCTTTTTGCCAATATCAATTAGTGTATACCAAAGAACTTGTGCCATGAAAGTTTACTGCGCCGATGAACTTGCTGGCACCACAGTGTGCCGCCAACTTTTTTTTTTTTTTTTGTCATTTTTAAAAGCAGAGAATCCACTGATCAATTATGGCTTCTGCACGATTGTGGCGATGCCTTTTCTGGTAACCATTGGGAAATAATGATGGAGATCTGATGACCGTCAAAAAACGTGCCAGCTTTATTGCAGAGTTCCACCGATCGTGGGATTCATGGGTAGTACACGGATTTGCCTAGTCTTCATACTTGTGTGTGGCAAATACCACTTGTGGCTTCGTTTATTGCTGTGCTTTGTTTTGTTTCGAATGAAGGAACAAGCCCTTTTAAACTTCGTGACTTGATTTGGAATGGTAAGCTTAAAAGAGTACGGTGGTGAAGCGCAACTGCTGAACATTTGCTGATTATTGTTTCGTGAGAAAATAGCTCCAAGCTATAGGAACACACACGGGGCCAGAAGTATAAAAATTAGACAAATCCATGTACTACCCATCATTCCCATGCTAGCTGAAGCGCCATGCATTGCAGCTCCCCTAGACACTGGCGCCAGAGTTTCCTCTAGTGTATATTTAGTAAACTGTGGATGTTGGGACGTCAATCCTCACCTATTATTATTGACCCTACTGCACGCTTTTAATAGCCCGGGCCTACCTGAGCTCGCTGGGTCGTCAATTGCTGCCGCCTCGTTGTACAGGACCGCGTTCAACGCGCACCGCTTTGCAGTAATGAAAGTAGCTTGCTGTTGCAAAGTTGAAACGTTTATGGTTGCAAGTACTGGGAAACCTCACTGCATTGATTCTAACTGCACGTGTGCAAGTGTAGCACTGTTGTAACCATACTGCACGCTTTCGTTAGGCAACAACCCAAATGCGCCTCCATTTGCTGCCAGGAAAGCTTGAGAATCACTTGCAGAAAGCTCGTCATGGCGTGTGTTGATGCAACAAGCTTCTTGCTGCATCTGTGCATGGTCCAAATAGCGTGCACGCCGAGTAGGCAAAGTGCTACATGCAACTAGCCAGTAGAAGGTTTACTCCTTGCAACCTTACAGCGAACAAAGAAAAAAGTTTACGCTAAGGTAGCAGGTCATGGTCCACATTTATAGCGGACAGCTGGTTATGTCCTTTTCATCGCTATTTCAGTCGTTGTGTTGGCTGGGTGTCCCGGTCTCCGAAGTAGTTGAGAAATGCTACTTGGTTCTGGCACCGCGTACCATCAGACGGTTGTGCGAGAGGGCCAAGGATTTGTGAACTTTAGAAAAAAAAGAATTAAGTTGTGTGTTTGTGTGTGTGTGTGTGTGCTTGCATGCGTGTGTGTTGCTCTGATATTCATGCTGCAGCCAGGTGGTTGCAGCCAACTATTTTTTTGTCACCGCTCCTGCACATACAGCTACTTTTGTTTATTTTGTAAGCTTATTTTGTGGGCTTGCACCTCTGTATAAATAATGACATAAACTCGAGGGAACTATAAACTACATTAAAGCTAAGTTTTCTTCATCTCTGTTTATCATGAAAAGTATGTGCATGCTCCAAACACAGAGGTCGCTGCTGCAAAAGCAGATTGTGCCCGCTCCTGTCGCTGCGCCGAAATGCTGAAATGTATTTCTATCACTGCGATTGAGTTGCTCGTCTGATCAGTCGCTGCAAAAACGTGATCAAGTTTGTCGTTGAAAGTAAAAAAATAAAGCTCTCGAACCCCCCTTTCTTTTCTTGTGCTCTGAAGGTTTTATTAATTGCTGTGTTGCCAGGTTTGCAGTTATGAGTGCAACTTCATAAGGCAGTGTCATTCCCACCTCATAAAATATGCACAGTAGCCTGCACTTATGTGCATGCACAACCAGACTGACAGTGACCCTACCCATGCAGAATGTGGCCAACTACCTGAGCAGCACTATTATTTCCTTGGTTGTGCAGGCAACCCACGGCCATGCGTTCGTCATTTGGACGGCACTTTTTGAGTCATATTCAGCTCTTAAATTTCTCGTTGCAATTTTTTTTTTTTCATTTGGTCAAGTGTAGACAGAGTTGCTAATGGTTACCACACTCAGATTTTTTTTCTCCATTTCTTCTCATGAGTGCGCTAAGAGCTCTGTCAAACAGAGCAGCCAGCAGTGATATGATTGCTGTGATGAATTGTGCCAAGAGCTGAAACCTGCTGCGTTTCAGATGAAATCACATTATTTGCACCAAGCGTGCACCAAGGCATCGCTTTTTTTTTTTTTTTTTTGCAGAGAACAAAAAAAAAGATGGCAGGAGCTTTAAGTACATACTTATGTTACTGTTGTAATACAATTTATAGTGGTCATTAGAGTAGACTGGTGAGAGCTGTCTAGTTGAAAGAATCTCTCAAGGCCAATGCTAACTATATACTCAACCGAGAATAATATTCGACTGAGCTAATGGTGATGAGTAAGTAAACCACAGTCATCGCTTGGCTCTTTATTGAGCTCACAATAATGGTATGCCTAATTACCATTCGTCCTATGACCTTCATCACATCGATTAGCTTGCCCAGCCGCAAAGAGATACAGCCAGTGTCTCGTAAGTGGTCACTTCAGTGCCTAAGCGCATGTCCTGCCATCAACTTTTGCTTAATGCAAATAAATGTTTGCATGCAAAATTACGTAAGCTGGCAGGTGGTACAAGAGCCTGATGTATTGACCCAGGTAGCAATGCTGGGGAGGGAAGAAGTGGAAGCTGAAGTTCCCATGTTTTGTGGCAGCACAGAGCAGAAATAATTGTGTTAATAAAAATGGGGAGTTGGTATACATGAGGTTTATTGCAACACATGTGTATATTCCATTTGGCCATAATTAGTTTTTGTAGAGTTTTCCCGTTCAAAACCACACCATGTATAGTACAGGGCAGAGGAGCAATAGTATGCTGGAGAAAGTATTCTATGTATCGGAGTGACTTAATGCGTCTCAACTTTGAGGGGTCGCAGGTTCGAATACTCGGTTTCAGGCTTCGAATTTCAGAACAATTTTTCGGGGGGAAGGTGAGTGTGTTGTAAGGATGACAGCGCTGCTGGGGCGCACGCACGTTCTATGGACTGGGCCGAGAAGTTGAGAAAGATCAAGTCAGATAAAGAACCGCCGGCCCTGCAAATCGGTGCAGTGTCGGAGTCTCCATTACAATATATATATCACCGATGGCAAATTCCACCCAAAAGTGTTCCTATAACTGTTGCCGCAATATAACTGGCTGAGGTATTTTACCTAAAAAATTAAAATAAAACAAGAAAATATGAAACTCCACATTCATTTCTTGTGATTGAAAGGTAATCTGGTAAATTCGTTGTAATTCATGTGTTCATGCTTTTCATGTGTCCTTCTCAAATATCATACGCTTGTATAGGTTATTCCTTCTGCAGTTTGGGTTGGAGCATGCATTCAAAACTCTCTATAATGCTGTTCATTTTCTTTTGCAGTTCTCCATCTATCTCAACAGCAAATCCAAAAACATGGTGAAGCTCGTGCCTCTGAAACCATGAAGAACATTGAGTCAAATGTCAACAGAGCACTGCAAACCTTTTTGCGGGACAACAGAGCTGCACTGGCTCCTCCAGATTTTCGAGCTCCTCTGGATGAGGTTGTGACAAGTGCATTCAGTAACCTGAAGATAGGACTTCTACAAGCATTAGCTGCGTGAGCTGCATACCTATTTGCGTATCAAGCTTTGCAGTAAAATTAAGAATTAGCGAATTTTATAGGTTGGAATTGAATAAGAGTACCATGAAATCTTTATTGTATTTCTTTTTAATCCATTCAAATGCAGGCAACAGGAGATGCTTGCGAACAGTCTGAGGGAAGAGATGCACGGTGCACTGCAAGAGACTGTAGCCGCAGCTGCATCTGAGGGAATAGGAAGTCACTCGAGTATGAAGACTCCTGTCCCTCTTGCAGACCCTTATCTTGTGCTTCACCAGATTACCCTTCTAGTGCGTCAGGGCCAGTATAATATGGCATTCCAGCAGGTGAGTTCAGCCACCAAGGCAATGCCACTCTTAACAAATTCTAGATATGGTAGTTATTTGCTATTTCTTGCATTTTAACAATGTGAAGTAACTGCCGTATTTACAACCTAGTCTGACCTTTATCTTGAGTGTTCATTACTTTTTCAGCTCCTTACCTCATATCAAAAACAGACTTTGCCCTCAGTGGCCCTCTTTAGCCAAACTTATGTTTACACAAACGTAGCCTTTTAAGGGCTGCTTATCAAACTCAACAGAAAGAAGTTGAGGACAATAACGCAGTCGAGACATTGTTGAAGTAGGAATCATACGTGTTGCATTTGAACAAAGCAGCATTTCACGACACAAAAATGGAGCTGGCATGGCTGAGTCACAATCTTTCTCAGATTTTTTATGTTGTGTAGCTTGTGCTCCGCAACATCCACAACATTAAAGAATAGCTGCGCAGCAAGGTGTAAGCAATCATACGTGTTGCATTTGAACAAAGCGTTTCACGGCACACAAATGGAGCTGACATGGCTGAGCCACAATCTTCTTCATACATCAAGAAACCTCACTGTAGACTAAATGCTGCTGTTTCCATTACTCAAAAGTAGCAAGTAACAATAGTGAATAAACTGAAACTCGCCTGTCATAAATGCTTCTTTTGTGTTTTCAGCTTTCCATGTACACAAGACATGAAATACAAGTACCAGCGAAGCGTGCATTTACAGTTAAACCTACTTATAACATACCTCCATATAACGAATTCCTGGATATAACGAAGTTTTTCTATTTCTCGCCGTCGCTCCATAGGAGCACATGTATTTGCGACCTCTATGTAACAAAGTAACTGCAGGAGACAACCTTGATATAACAGACAAGCCGTGTTGCACCGCTCGCGTGCAGCAGTCAATCGTGCGTTTGTATCATTCGTGGTTGCTGGGAAAACCGTTCGTATAAGACCAAATCGCAGTGTATTTTATGTAATGTAGTCCATCCGAAGCAAGTATCATCCCGAAATTCGCATTAACTATAATCGTATTATCGGCATTTTACTGTAGATTGGGGCCGAAATTACCTACTCTAAAATCTTAAAAAAAAAAAAAAACGGGCTATACGAGAGCTTTTACGGTACTTCTGTTTTGTGCCTTGTGCACTGTCCATCTTGAGTATGTTCCAACTACCTGAATTTCGCTCCACTGTCAGCATTGCCTGTTACATTAAATTATCCCAGCATAAGTTGAACCCCTTTATAAGAGGCATGCTCTGGGTACCCGTTGTTGTCTTTTATATGAGATGTCTCTTATAAGCATGGTACCATATATGCATTTTTCGTATTTTATTGTAGGCACACTGGTGTCTTACACCCATTTGTCCCTTATATCTGCACCTCTTATAAAGGGGTTCGACTGTGTTTGAAGATGGACCTCGGGGCAAAAGTGCTAATGGGCAACATAAACGCCTGTACAGTGGGCAGAAAACAATACCGATTTATTTTTCCACAGGGGAGTCTGCGTAGGCAGACGTTTGGTGAGTGGCGACACCACGGACTCTAGTTAATGGGGGGGGGGGGGGGGGGGGGTAAATTCCCTCCCACGCTTAGACGTGCGTGGCATTGCCCGTGTCCGAGGAAAATGGGATCCCGGGGGTTGAGCCAATGCCGGGTGATTGGGCCTTTAAAGAGACACTAAAGAAAAACACGGATTTGGTTTAGATTGACAACTGTATTCTGAGAACTTTAATGCCATATGTTTCACTATAAGTTGATCATTAGCAGCGAAAATTAAGGTTCAAGTTTCATTTTTAAATTTTGCGCCAGCACTTCCGCGCATAACATAAGAAAATTACTAAATGTATCTTCGATATTTGTGTGGCATTAGCTCGATGAAATTATCTGAAACATCGTATGGTAAGCCTAGGGCACCCATAGATTACAATGTACCTCATTTTATCAATTCGGAGATATGTAGGACCTAGCAAGCGCCTTCGAAATTTTTCATGTCACATTGTTCGCCAAGCATCGTGTTGCGGTAAGAGTGGTGTTTTGGGATTGTGACATTGTAGTTTAGTAATACGCGAAAATCGTTCTGCTCTTTAGTGTTCCATTAAGGCCCCCCGATGTGGCAACACACCCCTTTGGCCCCAGCTTCACATCGACGGCACCCCTAGGCTGACTCACCCAGGGGAAATCAGCAGTCACTTTCTCCTGTCTCTCGTTCCCCTTACCTTTATTTTAAAGACGATAGTCTTTCTTGGGGACCTTTAACTGAAAAGTTTTGGTCAGTTTGTCTGTACATTTGTCTGTTTGTCCACTCCTAACGGCACAGGGTTCTTGAAACGGCCGACCCCATTCGTAGCCCCCACCAATGTTGCTCAGGGTTTCGTACTCCAAGAAAACTGCCAGATGGCGCTCATGTCTCACGTGTGACGTGACTTGATGCACTCGTTCGCCTCCGCTGCACGCTCAACGCACTCTACTAACGTAGCGTAGCGCCTTCAGAATACCATTCACCGATTTTCTTGCGCAGAGCATCAAATGAATGTTTTGTTCACTTTCTCCACACGCAAGACTATCGCCTTTCGACGACATTTGCAGATTACATGCAGATACGGGGCCAATTTTTTCTTAATGTTTCCTGTCTACTTCTTCCTTCCGTTAACTTCCAATATTTCCTGGCAGCAAGAGTTAACCTCGTGGCGGTATCCAAATTCTGATAGTTATACAGTTGATTCCCGTTAATATGAAGGTCATGGGAACTGCAAGAAACTTCAAAACAAACAAACTTCCAATTAAGCAAAGTGCACAGTGCAATCACTGCTGCCTCTATGGTTGTGTGGGACTGTGTTCAGCGTGCACCGCTTCGCAGAAACGAAAGTCGCTCGCTGTTGCAAAGTTGAGCTTTGTGTATCGCGGGCACTGAGGCAGCAAGGGTAGCGCTGTTATAAGTACGCTGCGCGCTTTCATAAGGTGGCAACCCAAATACGCCTCTGTCCGCTGCCAGAGCCGCTCGAGCATCGCTTGCAGACAGCTTGCATCGCCGTGCTTACATATTAGCTTTCTCGCTGCATCTGTGTGCAGTCTGAAGCGGAGTGGGCGTAAGTGGCTTAGCACGGTGTGTACGCTAAGTAGGCGAAGCGTTGCGCGCAACTAGCTAGTAGACGGATACGCTCCCTGCAACCGTACCTTGCCTCAAAAAAGTTGTCTGTTTTCACTTAAGTAGCAGATCGCGGACAGCCGCTAATGTCCATTTTGTCGCTGTGCCAGTCGTTGTGTCATCTGCGTATTCCGGACTGTGCAGTAATTTCGAAATGCTCCTTGATGTCGCCACTGCATGCCATCGGATGGCTGTGAAATAGTGCCAATCATTTCTGAAATTTGGCAAACAAAGAAATGGCTTTGAAGTGGGCACTTTAGGCCATATTTGTTGCATAACTGCCAACTCTCCCGAATTTGGACCTAATCTCCCGATTGTACGAATGTCATCTCGAATCTCCCGAAAAGTGGCCACCACAGCAGAGGCTGTTTTTTTTTTTTTCTCTCTCTCTCTTTTTAAGATCATGCGCGTACGTCAGCCTTTTCTGCTGCGGAAGAGCACTCGCCACCACACTTCTTTTTCATTGTAACCATATTGTAGAGTACCGCTGAGTACATTCTCGGCACTGCGCATCTTGACGAAGGCTGGCCGCGAGAAGCGCTCGCCGCCGTACCGAAAGAAGGCGAGGGAAAAGGTTAGTCTCAAAGGAAAAAGATTGCGGCGCTGTATGTTCACGTGCGCTCCGATAACGAGACGGCGAGACTGTCAAGCACATTCCATTTTCCAAAAGAGGGGTGGCCGGTAGACTGGCGGTAGGCGGACCCCAATGTGCTTTGCACTCTCCATATCGGCGTGCTTCGGAGAAACAGCGCCGACAGCACCGCGTGTCGCATTCTTGTCACTCCGGCCACCATTCAGTTCACTTGCTTCCGTTGTGCCTAGCCAGAACTTCTTCTCCGTCTTGGCCCCCGCATTTTGTACGCTACGCCTACGCCGTCTGCCGTGGTTGTAGGGGTTGCGTGTTTCCAGAGTTCAGTTAGAAGGTCGATGGCGACGTCAAAATCAAAGAAGTACTTGCAAGTGTTTCTGGACTCGTACACAGCTGAGTTTCAATGCTTTGTGACTTCGCGGAAAGGTGACAAGTACGGATTCTGTACCACGTGCGCCTGTGATCTGAGCGTGTCGCACGGCGGCAAGGCCGATATAAAGGTGCATATCGCTTCACAGAAGCATCAGAACTACGTTCGTGCTGTGTAAGGGCAAGGCAACATCGGTAGCTTTTTCCAAAAGAGCTGCGAAGACAGTGCAATCCGCGCAGAATGCCTATTCACGGGATTCCTTGTGGAACACAACTTTCCGCTAGCGTTAGTGATCACGCAGGGCCGTTTTGGAAAATGTTCCCGAAGTGCGAGGACGTGAAGTGGTACGGGTGCGGACGTACGAAAACCACTGCCATCGTCAGAGAAATGGCTGCACATACCGGAAACACAATGGCGGAGGCTCTGAAGCGCCGTGCTTTCGCAATCGCAGTGGATGGAAGCAACGACAGCGGGTCACAAATGTACCTAATCGTGGCAACATACTACATCGAGGAATCTCGAAACGTGGAAAGCCGGCTTCTTTGTTTGCAGGAACTCCATGGAGAGGCCACCGGACGAAAGATTGGAAACCTCGTTCTGGACGCGCTCAAATCGCGTAGTATACCGATTGAGAACTGCATCGCATTTTCTGCCGACAATGCCAATGTGATGATCGGCAAAAAAAACGGCGTGGCAGCTGTGCTAAAAGAAGCCCAAGATAATTTGATAGTTGTTGGCTGCCCATGCCACCTTATAAATCTTGCGGTCGAGAAAGGAGCCGCATGCTTACATGCAAAATTTGACGAGGTGCTCTTGGACATCATATACTACCTTGAGAAGAGCGCCAAGCGGAAAGACAGGCTTGTTGAATTTCAAGGGATGCACAACACCGAGGTGCGGAAGATTT